TCTGCACTGGACAATATGTAACTTTTATAAGTCTTTGAAGACTTTCCTGAAAATAAGCGCAGTGTCCAAAAAACCGATTCTTGGATAGTTCCAAGTTGCTGTGGTATTCCCAGTTGGTTAAGGAAGTCACATAGTTTTAATGGGATTTATGACAATGCGCCACTGGAATCAACATGACATTATCTTCCTGCGTTCCAAACTATCTTGGAATCTCAACTTTCAAATCAGAGTACTTAATAATTTTCTCAATCAACTTGTTTGCTATATTTGTGGCATTTGGTATGGCAGCCTTCAATAATACGACAGTTCTTGGCGCCTTTATCTAGCGCAATAACATCCGGACGGCGATGCTGTATCACTGTGTTTGCCTGAAAATCATTGTCCCAGAATATTTAGGGTTTTCCACATTCTTCAATTGTTCTGCAATATACATGTTCGCACTATGTTCGCATATATACTATCGAAATAATGACCAATGTTCAGAAGGGCGTACCTTATCATAACGCATCTTATATTCGTTTTGAGCTAGCATTTTGCAAACACTGATCAGGTGAGTTCACCACAAATTCTACATTTTGGTTGGTTGGTTTTATTTTACGGCATATCAACACCTCTATGGGTTATTTAAGGTCGAAATATAAATATTTTGAACACAATTGTATGACTTCAACTACAGATGAAACATATTGTTTGTCATTTTGATATAAAATTTATTGTTGGTAATTCTACGATAAAATGTATTGTTAGTCATTTTACTATAGATAAATATTGTTGGTAATTTTAAAAAAATATACTGATGGTATCTTTACCATAAAAATGTACTTTTTATACTTTCATAGTGTTTGCGGATTCATTATTCGCCTATAACTGGGGCATTAACATGTGTTAGTCATCTCCTTACATTTTTGGGTGATTGATGTTTTGTGTATATTGCATTTTATGGCATTAATAGCAAGGGCTTGGTCCTGTTGTTTTATGGTAATTTTTATTTACCAAAACTTTCACTTGAGACTTAATGTTAATAAAAGACTTTCACAGAATTTTAGAAAAAATATTCTTCCAAGTGCTTGAGCAATAGTCATTAACACAATTTCTGTCTTTCAGAAAAAAAGGTGGATTATTATATTATTATTATTATTATTATTATTATTATTATTATTATTGCTGCTGTTACTGATTCCATGACTTAATGTTGCCCTCTGTTGTTCATCAATGTTTTTTTTAACACCGCCTTTTGACTGTTTGACCAGCAGACAAATGAATTATCAACAATTGTTATGCATATAGGAATATTTAATATGTATGGATTTTTTTCACAGAATCGACAATACGCAATAATGACTAAAAGAAAAATATTATATTTACGATTCGGATGTTTATAAGCCCAACGCAAACATTAACATATAAGGGCATACATACATACATACATACATACATACATACATACATACATACATATATATGTGTGTGTGTGTGTATTTTATATATATACATAAATGCATATATATATATATATATATATTTTTAAAAAAACGTGACGTGAAGAAAAAAAATTTATAGAAAACAAAATTATCTGCAAAAAGTTTTCGGAGTCAAAGAGAAATATAAAAAAATGGAAGAATATCAATAATAATAATAATAATAGCAATCTTAACGGGGAACCTTAAGAGAGAAAATGAATTGAGTTTAATAGCGGCCCAATACATTACCATAAGCATCCATTTATTTCCACGAAATCGACATTACTGAATAGAGCAATTTGATGAGAGAGTTCTTTACTCTACTTCCATCGATCGTATCCGGCTTTCTTGCTTGAGTGGGATGATAATTTTTTTTTAAAATGATGTGAAAAATCAGATTGAGTCTAGTTTTTTTCATTTCATCTCTTATAGGCGATAACAACTAAAAAAAACAATTCAGAGATATTGGTCATACAATGGCAATCTTTCTCATAAGATTAACACTGACAATTATCTTATTAACACGCAATAAGATCACATTCGAACAAACAGCGCCTCCGAGTGGGGTAGATATTGGGGACAGTTGATAATTATTACTGAGTGACGAGTTTTTACTGGTTAACCCATACAAAATTAGACATTAAATACTTCAACAATTTTCTTGGAAATGCTTTCACAAGATGTTATGTTACGAAATTAACCAAACGTTTTAGTGTTTTTATTTGGAATTTTCAATGTTTTAAATGTTATATCTCTTTCTAATATCTGTCTATATTTCTGAGATGAACTATTTACACTATTTGCATTGTTCGGATTGTTGTCCTAATCTTTGATGTCCATATTCACGAGGTCTCGGCCGTTGTACGCTCCGGCTTTCTTCAGACACATGCCCCATTGGATAAAAGCGTTGGTTGAAATAATCCAGTGACTTGACCCAAAGAGTTGTGAGTTCAATACCTGGCCACGGCAGAGGTGGATAATAATAATAATAATAATAATAATAATAATAATAAAAATTGGAAAGTTGAGTTACTAAAGGGAAATAACTGAAACTAAGAGACATGGCACGTGGAAGTAGAATATACTCTGGTGGACGAAATAAAGGGTCCGGTCTGAAATTTCAATCGCCTGATGAAGGCCGGAGTGTACAATGGTTGAATGCCGTGATTAGGACAACAAAGATGAACACAGTAGTCAGAACAACTTATATAGCTGTTAAACCGGAACATACCTATTCTATTGTTAATAGATTCTCCCACAGATAATAATAAGTAGTAGTAGCAGTCGCTAGGGGGCTCAGAGTGAGTTGGTGAGTCAGTCGATGTCGGACATTAAAGTATCAACCACCACAACTAGATTGCTGCGTCATTAACTATTATATCAAGTTCCTAACGTTTTGTACGTCGAACCTCTTTTAGGACCGACTTAGTGAAATACAAGCCTCCACTGTGAAAACTACTCTACAACAATAGTATAAATACACTTTCTAGGATTAATGGCATTTTTCTTCCAAACAATTTTACTAGTGCGATTAAAAGCTAAGATCGTGATTATATCTTTATTTTTCTTCTAGTTTTTTTTTTTTTTTAAGTATATCACGTCAAGCAAGGCGTGAATGCCACTTGCAGAATAGGACAGAATGTGTATAGAACAGAAATCTAAGGAAAAAATAATAATAATAATAATAATAATAATATTAATAATAATAATAATTCCTTATTGATATGGCAGTCCCTGTCGGACTGCAATGTATCTTTGAAGATATTCAAAAAGCTGTCCAAATACAAGATCTTGAAATCGAAATCTCAAAATTTGGCACATGGGAACACCATAACAATCCCTGTTGTAGTTGGTTGGAAAAATTTCCAGTAGACTAATTGAAAAATTCCTCTTCCCCATGCCTCAAAGGAATACAAAAATTGTCCTCACAGGTACAGCCCACTCTTTACGAAGGACTTTATCTATATAAAATATTTACTTATTTATTTTGTAAGTGGAAAGTGTCATGATGCCATTTCTAACCTTAGGTCTCTGGGCGGGACCCGGAAAGAAATCTGTACACGCCAGAAATCAAAGGGAATAATAATAATAATAATAATAATAATAATAAGAAGAAGAAGAAAAGAAGAAGAAGAAGAACTGCTATGAGCATCAGTCGGACTTGGTTACAGCAATGGGACCTATAACAATTTTATGGGGATTTACAAGATACAAAGACAGAAATTCAAAGCTAATCGCCCAGACTTCGTGATCAAAGACCAAAAAAAAAAAACAGAATCTGGTTTCTTTTTGGCATGGCAGTTAAAAAGATTTTAATGTAGCTTTGAAGATCTTCAAAAACTATTTTTTATAGAAGGATCTTGAAGTAGTAATCTCAAAAATGTGGCACATGAAGACATCAATAATTCCCGCTGTAGTTGGAGCCCTCGGACTGATTGGAAAAAGTTCCGATAGATTGATTGAGGGGGTAAAGAAATACAAAGAATTGTACTCATAAGGGTAGTTCACATATTACGAAGAGTCTTATCTATGTAAAATACGTGATGTTAGTTGGGTTTTTTAAATGATCAGTGGAAAAGATCATGAAGCCATTTCGGACCCCAGGTTTGAGGGTGTTACATGGAAGGAAATGTGTATACAACAGGTATCAAAGAAAATAATAATAATAATAATAATAATAATAATAATAATAAAATATCCAGAAAAGCGCAATTTAAGAAAAGTAAAAGACACAGTATTAAAAAATGTCTAACAATATTTCACCAGTCTTCAATTTATGTTTAAACAAATGGATGCAAATCCAGAGACGGATATGCAATTTGAATGGCCTTGATCTGGCATCTTGTTTACAGACGCTCTCTCACAGACGTACCGTCGCTTACTTCTGTCTTTTCTACAAGTACTTTCACGGCAATTTCTCCGACGATCGACTTTCGCTAGTTCCCAAACTGCATGTATTTAAGCGTGCTACTAGGTTGACATCTCGGTCCCATCTTTTCACTGTCGAAACTGTTAAATATAGCCGTCTCTTCTACTCCAATAGCTTCATGTCTCGCACTTATTCAAATTATTATTATTATTATTATTATTATTATCAATATTTATAATCTCCAACTATTCAAATGCAATGTCAAATGACATCTCCAGATGCCTTGATCTATTCCCTGTTCTTCTCTTCATTTTTTCTTCTATTACGGCTTTTTCTATTACTTCCACTCTTTTTATTTTGTTATTGTTTATTGAAAACTCCCATCTTGCTTGGGGTGAAATGCTTAAAAAATAAATAAAAGTCTAAAAATATAAAAATAATTCTTTGTACAAAGGTCGTTTGTCTAGACTAAAGTGGTTGTACTAGTAATCAACGTGACAAAGTAAGTGAAACGCAGCTAGCGTGCAGGGAATGCAACTTGAATGAGAGTAACATGATGGAGAGGGTACTCATTTATAATTTTCCGTCAGTAAGAGAAAGTCAAATAGTTTAGTACAAATCTTTAAGAGTTGATAGAGCGGTTGATTTCTGGATATTTCTTTTTCCAGATT